TAAAATCACCTTATTCAATTTATTAAGATTATCTGTGTGCATGTGCATACATGTGATGCATGTGAGTGTGCACATGCCATGGTGTGTGTGTGTGTGTTTGTGTTTGGGCAGTCAGACAACAACTCATGGGAGCCGGTTCTCTCTTTCCATCATGGGTTTGTGTGGCAATGGCTTTTACCCACTGAGCCATCTTCATTGGTCTGTTAATTTTAGATTTTAGAAAATCTATTGGCATGGGCTTCCTACAAATCATGTCTTCACTTGAAAGCTGTCCCCATTCAGAGGGACCTGACAGAGACTAACACAGCTCAGCTCAGGAAGTTCCCTTCTTCATAGCAACCATCTGCTTTCATGTGCATTGTTACCTTAGATCCCGTTTGCAGCCTAGAGAGGGGAAGGAAAGTCGCTGAAAAGAGATCTCTGCCTCATCAACTAATGAGCAAATAGGCCAAAGATGATGATTCATGTGAAAAATACTGCTCCAAGAAGAGAGCAGGCTAGGAACTGTCCAGAGTCACACAGATAAGACATGCTCCTGCCCTGGTGCCTGTCCTCGTGCTGGGACAACACACGTGCAAGCGGTCTTCCCTCCTGTGATGTGTGAATGACAGCCTGGAGATGAAAACAATAGAGGCATCTATATTAGAGATCCTGGGTCAGCCTTTACTGAGCAAAATTAAAGCTTGGTTTTGGTGACCAGAGATTGAAGATGTGTTTGTAATTAATAATAAAAACAAGCTTTAACCTAGATGGGCAATTCTTCTGGGTTTAAACAGCCTCATTTTAAGCTCTGCTCTAACATTATTTGAGCACTCAAAGTGGTTATTAAGGGAGTAGCCTCTAAGTAAAAAGCCTGTAAATTTCTTTCCTGTTCAGCTAACAATGTGGATTTGTGGGATAATGCTGGCAAGGCTTTTGAGTTCCTCAGAGGCTTAACCCCCTCAGAAGAATAAAGGACTGGTATGGGCTATAAAGCTGCTGCTAAGACATTCTACCATGGAGAGGCCAGACAAATGAAACTGGCTAAGAGAGGGTACTGTCTAGACATGTTTTCCCTCTCTTCTGGCCATGTGTAACAAGACTTTGCTTTTTTCAAATTTGAACATATCAGGTAATGTCACCACACATTGTTCAGCCATCTGTCATTGTTATCTGACACCAATGCTTAATGTTTTAGTGTTCTTTTTCTTCCTCCCTCCTTCCCTCCCTCCCTTCCCCACTCCCTCCCTTTCTTTCTTACTTAAGAAAAGAAATTTCATGTAGCCCACTTCTCATTCTCTGTGTAGGATGACCTTGAACCTCTGAAATTCCTGCCTTTATCTCCCAAGTGCTGCATTACAAGCACATGCTGCCACATGAGTGTTATGTGGTGCTGGAGATCAAACCAGTACTTCATGCGTACTAGCGACATGCATGCATGCTAGGTAGCAACACTCTGTGGACTGAGGTACATCCCAACCAGACAGTTTTCACTGTCAACTATTATGGTTCCTTTCAGTCATAGCAGACTAAAAGGAGCAAGGACTGAGTCCCGATTGCTGTCTGTCAAAAATTTCTGCATTTTGCCTCTTTCCTGAAATTGCAGCCTTTGCATGTGGATGTTGTTGGCATGGCTATCACAGGATGGGTCTCAAATCACATTTTTAAGTTTGCATATTAACTTTACATTCCCATTAGTGATGTGAGATCTCCCTTCTTCTTCTGTCACAGATAACAACAATCACCAAGGCTCGACCTTCAAATCCTATCGCCAGTTCTCAACAGATTCGCCTTACATCTACTTTTCAGGCACAACTGCGTATTCCCTAAGTTCTAGGAACCTCTCATGGCTTTTCCCCTCTGTGTGCTCAGAGGAGGTCATTCCCTGCCTTGTAGCCTGAATCATTTTGAAGATTTGTAAGTCTGATTAGCCCTATCTTTTCCAATATCCTTAGTGTCTCCTCACCCCATCCCCAGTCCTCAGTGACCTCTCTGCTAGTTTCTGAACACAGCCTGTGCATACCTGCAGTAATGGTCTTGGTGTTTCTAGTCCCTCTCCTGATGCTGCTCTTCCTGTCAATATTGATCTCAGTTACACAAGAGGGTTTCTTATCATGGTATTAGATCCTTATACTGTGAGAAAACCTTTCCTCAGTTTCATCATCTGAAATACCAGCATCTGGCATTTTCTAGCTTCTTGAGAATGTTCCTCAGAATGTAGTCTCTGTACCCACTGCTGTATCCATGTTTGCCCTATGTCTTCTTGAGGGGGAAGTTGGTTCCTGGGAACCAGAGCCTGTATCTCTGGTGCCAGAGTCAGCATCCATCAGATGCTCAACAAGAGTTTGTTAAAATTTGAGAACAGTTACGTGTATTTAATCCTACAAACTTAAGGCTCATATAAGAGCAGAGGAAAATTTTTATCTTTTGTGGTTCTAGGACGTGATCTCAGGACCTTGCACACACTAGGCACATGTTCTTCCACTGAGCTGCATACCAGCAAAGAATTAATATGTTTCACAAATTAGAAAACCATTAAATGATAAGACAAGGCATATGTATACAGTTGTCTGGAAATAGGAAAAAGTTTCAACAAAGAATTGTGGGTGACTTTAGTTTTTTATTCTGTCTTCTCTACCCTCTGAGGAGAGTCCCTTGCCACAGTGACTGTTGAGTTTATATCTCAGGAGAAACACACACACACACACAACACCTTAGGTGCATGTTTTCATCAATCACTGGCTTTATGTGGTCATCCACTCTGAGGAGGTTCAGTTGTAAAATTAACTCAACAATGATAGTGATATCTTCTCACAGGTGATGGATATTCTTGATAAATATCCCATTCCATATATTCCTTTAGCACTGGGCTGAGAATATTGGTGCCACGATTTCCAGATTTGTGGGTTTCTCTCACACAGGGAGACTATAATCTAAGTACATCTGCCTCTCATGTGGCATTGCTAAATTCTGTTCAGTGATGGAGAAGTGTTACTGGTGTTCAGCCTCGACTTGGGTTCAGGTCCTGAGGTGGGGAAAGGGCGTTGGTGCAAGGAAACCTCTGACCACAAAGTGGATTACACTCAAGTGGCCTGGATAACTCCGGCCATCTTTATTTAGACCTAGAGTTTTTCTTACAGGGGTTACATGATCAGATTTGTTATCAGCTTCTATGTTTGACTTTAAGAAATACATCACAATTTAAGGAACATATTATGATGTTTATGAAAGCTCCTATTGTCCCCATTTATGCGTCCCAAATGCACCTTCCCAACCCCTGAATAACAACCTTATTCTAGACAGAGAGGTCAGCATTTTTGCAGGCTTAAGTAAATATCGAGCCAGACACGTCCTGCTCTCACAGCGCTTATGTCAGCTGGCAGGGGCCTGAACTTGCAGAGTTGAAAAGTAGCAGACATGGGAACAATGCTTTATGGACAACAATATTTAAACCCAAACAAGTCTTTCATGACTAAAGATATGCTTTTATACAGTTCTTTTTTCTACAAGAGGATCCCATGTCTCAGTCTCTCTGTAAAAGGCAGACTTTGACAAAGCACTTTCTTCCCATCTCTCTATACCAAACTTCTTCCACCAATATAAGCTCTGTGTATGATAATGATGAATCTATCCACCCCACATTTTGTATTGTATTTTTTCCTCATGGAGCATGCCATATCTTACCACCAATTCAATGCTTGCTGTCCAGGGAACTTACTCTCAACAGTTGGCACTACTTGTATTACTGAGGCTTTCCCCTACTCTGTATCTGCTGCCTTACTCTCCTTCCCAGAACTGTGAGACATGGTTAATGTTCCATGTGTTGTTTTCTCACATATTCCTAATTATGTCTATTGAGTCAGAAAAGTTCCTAGGATTGGGAGTTGTAGTTAGTAATTCCATACAAGAGATTTGAGAAGCATTATCCCCCTGTTGAACCTTAGGGGAAAATATTTGAGAAACAACAGAATTCCCAAGAAAAATTACAGCTATTGCATGTGTGACTAACAAAGTAAAACTAAAAACTGCCAAATGAATCACCAAACAATGAAAGAAAAAGAAAAGAACCTGCAAGCTGCATGAATTTTCCAAATTCCTACATTGTCTCATGTCTTTGCCAAGTGAGAGCCTCTTTCCACAGATGCCTTGCTCCAAGGAAACCCACTGGACATGTAGTCATATGCTGATCTGAGACCAGGCTGCACAACTCCCAACAAAGTATATCAAAATAAAAAAATTCTTCATTAATATTATGCTACAAAGATGGAAATAATTTATTTTATGTTCTTTGATATGTCAGTGTAATATCTAACAGATAAACATTTTATGACCTCCAGAAAACACAAAATGTTTCCTAGCCTTGGAAATAAATATTAGTTTATAAAAATTCATTGTTCCTGTCTTAATTTGCCTTCTATTACTGATCAAAGGCAACTTGAAGAGACTGAGTCCATTTTATATTTTACCATGAAGGAAATCAAAGCAGGACTTTAAGGCAGAAACCTGGAGACAGGACCTCAAATAGAAGAATGCTACCTACTGGCTTGCTCCTGATAGCTTTCCCAGTCTGATGTTTATACAACTCAGGATCACTTGACCAAGTACAACACACACTGTGCTGGTCTCTTCCACACCAGTCATGAATTAAAAGATTGTCCTCAAGTCTCCTACAGGTCGATCTTATCAAAACATTATTTCAGTTGAGGTTCATTCCTCCCTGATGATTCTAGCTTGTGTCACATGACAAAAAGCTAAAACTACAATTCCTAAGCTTTAATTCCTAATGAATATAGTGATTATCTTATGTAACAGTGTACCAGTGGTGCTGAAAGTTTAAAACTCAGAGTATGTAAAAGGCACATAATCTCATAGAGCTCAGACTGCCCAATGCTGCCTTTAACAATTGGTTTTAAGGGCAAACATGATTATTTTGTAATGGTTGTACCACTTCAAAAGACTAATGTGTTTGAGTACATGCTCATGCATATCTTCAAGTTTTCCTCTGATTCCTGTCTGTCCAGAACTAGAAGATGAGGAGGATGAAGAGGATGAAGAAGATGAAGATGAAGAAGAGGAGCATGAGGAAGAAGATGAGGAAGATAAAGAAGCAGACTCCTTGTATAAGGACTTCGACAGTGATACCGAGCTGCCAGGGTTTACTCTCCCTGGAATCACATCCCAGGAACCGGATGTAGAGGCAGGAAGCATGGCCCTACTGGAGGTAGCAACCTATCAGGTGCCAGAAACCATGGAGTGGGAACAGCAGAATCAAGGTCTGGGTAAGAGTCCTTTAACTAATCCTTTTCTAAGGTGTCATTTTCTTTCACTGGCATCTGTCAGAGAGAAAAGTAATCTGCTTATGGCTATGAATACTTTTATAGGAAAATTTTTTATGTATTTCCTTCAAAATTTTGTATCTGTGCTTTTATATAACTGACCCCAGTTCTCCACTGCCCATCACCACTCTCGTTACTGGATGTTTGGGGAGGATCTCCACATTTTAATTCCCCACAGGAAACCTTCCAAATGGGAGTAGAGATCCATAACCAGGGCCCTAAACATGTATCTAACATGGCTGAAGTCAGAAAGTAAATGGATTTTGGCACACTCTGTCCTGTCAGAATTTGTTACCTAGAAGTTTCTGCTCTCACACTAGTATAGGTTGAGCCATTTCTGAAGTCTGGGGGGTTTCTTTTCATTTTAGAGGCAGTCTCACTCAGCAGCCATAGCCTGGTTGCATGCCTTTCTCTGTGAGTGGGCCAGGTTGCTATGATAGACTGAGGTTATGGGCTGGGTCCCATCTCTACATCTTCTTTCCTGCTCTAGGGACGCTTCTAAGCCACTCCTTTTCCTTTAATTGTAGGAAGATGCTCTTGAGCCCTGAGTAAGAGACTCACTCTCTTAATGTGTGGTGAATGGCATTTTCGCCAAAGAAACCCTCTGAGTCTTTAACAGTGGTAGCAAATATTGAATATAAGAGTCACTAAGCGACGTTTGGAGGTTTTTCTTTCCAAACTTGACTATTGGTTTGGGATATTGCTCTTGACATAGTTCTGGGCTTATCACTTAGTAGGTTAGCATGAAAATTGCAGGAAATAGTTAGATGGGAATTGCTATGTAGTATGCACATAGGAGAGACCATGATGGAGAATGGCTCTCCAGAATATTGGCAGAGTTTGTAAATTTGCATATAGTGCTTACTGAATTAGCTTCTGAACAAACACATCAGGTATTTAGCAATAATTACTTAAGATACATACTATAAGGACCAGGTATAGTGGCACTTAAATTTAATTCCAGTACTCCAAAAGTAGAAATGGGTGAATTCCACCTATATATGAGGTTTAGGACAACTAGGGCTATATATTAAGGGTGCCCCCTCTCTCATATATACATATATATGTGACAAATTATTAATAAATTACTATATTAATATATGATTGTGTGCTATATATGGGTGTTAAAAGCTTATAAAGGTATTAAATATGTCAAAAAAGAAAATAAACAGAAAATAATATGAACACTGATTTGTAAACAAATATTATTTTGAAATTTTTCTGGCAAACAGGTTTGTAATGAATGAAATAGGATATAAAAATATAAAGAGATTTTTTGCCAAATATGCTAAAGACAAATGCAACCAACACTACATGAAGTGATTCTTCATGTCAAGACATTGTCATTTGACAGTGTCATGTACAGTAAAATAGTTGTAATAGCTTGAATACAAAATATGTCCTATAAGCCAGTGCATAAACTCTTGGTGTCCAGATGGTGGTATGGTCAGATGTCTCTCCCTTTACTCTGTTTCCTGTCTGCCTTGATGTGAGCTCCTCTACCATGCTTTTCTACCACAATGACTATATCCCCTGCCTCCCTTAAATTGGTTCTATCACATACTCTGCCATGGCAGTGATAAAACTAACAAATACAAGTCTTTGTAGTATGACTATATGTTGGCAGAGGCTGCTTATTTATTCATTTTTGGCTGCCCAGACACCCCCCCCAAAAAAAACCCATACAGAAACTGTGTTAATTATAACACCACTTGGCCAATAGTTTAGACATATTCCTGGATAACTCTTATATCTTAAATTAACCCATTTCTATTCATCTGTGTATCACCATATGGTTGTGGCCTACTGGTAAGGCTCCTTCAGGCGTCTGTCTTCTTTTTCCTCTTTCTCTGCTTGAAATTCCCACCTTGCTCTATTTTTGCCTTGTAATAGGTCCAAGCAGCTTCTTTATTCACTAACGAATAAAAGCAACACATATACAACATATACAGAAGAACGTCCCACATCATCTCCCCTTTTATGTCTAAATAAAAAAGGAAAGTTTTAACTTTAACATAGTAAAATTACACATAACAAGTCAGATATCAAGCAAGAATTACAGTCACAATGCTTATATCTACTTTATCTTTTATCATAACTAAGGAAAACTATAATTGTAACTATCTATTCAACTTCAACTCCATCAAAGACCCCAGAGGGATATACTATTACCTAAGTTGACAGGAAGTGCATTGTAAACAACTTCCAAAACTCTAGAAATGACAGAGACATCTTGCTGCCTGGACAGTCACCCAAAGTTCTTCTGTAACATTCAGGCAACCACCTTCAGCCTACAGTCCCATAGTTTCTGGCAGACTTTTCCATAAAGCAGAAAATTTCAAAGACAGGTATGCCTATATGATGGTTAGTTAGTCAATTTCTTCTGTGTCAGAAGGCCTGACAGATTCTTTCATGAAGCAGGAACCCTGAAGGACTGCCTCACCTTCTGTAGACAACTGGTGCTGGTGAATGAGAAAGACTCCTTCTAATGAAGTCATGCCTCTGCAAGCAGAGCCCATCATAAATAAATAAGTAAATAAAATGCAGCTATCAAGAAGCTGTGCTAAACTCTGGTGTGTGTGTGTGTGTGTGTGTGTGTGTGTGTGTGTGTGTGTAGAACTCCTTTTTAAGCTCTCTCAGGTTTTATATGGGTGTAGTCAATTCATGTTGGCACCAGGTGAAAATGGACACTATAAAATAGTCCCACACTTGCTCAGAATTGAGTATAATAAAGGGTTGTTTATTTGGGGGTAGACTCACAGATCACTGTCTTCTGTACAAATGACAAACAGGAACTGAGTCCAACAGCTTTATGGCTGCATTTATAGTATCAGAGACTGTGCCCAAGTGGGCTTATATCTTAAAGGTTATTGGTTGAAGGAGCTCCCACAGCAACTATAAAGTTTGATGAGGATGAATATTTGAGAATTGGCTGTTTTTCTAGAGAGATGACAGGAAGATTCTCTTCCTATAGAAGTAAGTAGGCTCTTCAGGAATGGTTGTGTGCCCATGTAATCCCAACTCTCAGAAGGCAGAGGCATGGAGGTTGCAAATGTGAGGCAAAACTGGACTATATAGCCAGTTTTAAACTTGTGTGGGCTCCACAGCTAGAACCCATACCTCAAATCATAACCCAACAAAAGAATTTAACAGACAAGAAGCACTAGGTAGGCATCTACTCCTGGGTTATGGTCAAGGAAATGAACTCCCTCATGCAGGAAGTAGGTTCCATATATGAGTTAGTGTACACATCTGGAAGGACTGTGGAGCTCACGAGAGGTGGACAGGCTTCAGCTCAATGCTGCAATGATTATCTGGATTGTTTTCTAACCATGTCCCTAAAAACAAATTTATTTTTGAAAGGAATCAAATTTTTAAGAGATTATTGATTTACATACTACATATAAACTGTATCCACCTCAATGTATAACTTGATGAGGTGGGTATTTATTTATTTGTTTGTTTATTTATTTTACTATTACAACGTCTCTGTAGGTAATCCAGGCTGGCCTCAGACTCATTGTTCTTCTGCCTCAGTTTCCCAAGTGCTAGGATTACAAGTATGTGTCATTACACCCAGCCAGTTCAGTGGGTTTACAAGTTGTCACCCATGCTCTTCCTCCACAGCCAACATGCAGAACATTTCCATCACCCACTCAGTGCCCTTTGCTCCAAGGAACCACTGATCTCCTTTTAAACTTTTTATTTACTTTCTATATGTTATTTTCATTTGTGCTTCTATGTGTGTGTGCATATGCCATGTGTGTACAAGTGTGCACCACAGAAGCTGGAAATCACTGGATGCCCTGGAACTGCAGCTATAGACAGTTATGAGTCATCAGATGTGGCTGCTGGGAACTGAACTCTAGTCTTCTGAAAGACCAAGAAAGTGCTTTTAATCTTGAGTTATATTTATGGCCCCCTTAAAATTATTTTTATTTTATTTATTAATATTTTGTGTGTGATATGTGTGAGAGGAGCATTTGTGATGGTCAGTGAACAATTTTGTGGATTTTGTTTTCCCCTTCCATCTTTATGTGGGTTCTGGGGATTGAACTCAGGTCACCAAGCTTGTTTGGCAAGTAGCTTTACCCACTGAGCCATCTCTCTGGCCCACACTGATCTATGTTTTTTTTATAGCAAAGTTTACATTTTTAAGAGTTTTATATGAACAAGTCCTGGTATTGCTTCATGAACTTTTCCTGCAGAGACGTGAACAAGCATATACTCACTCTAAATGGGGACCAACAAGAGGCTAACCATCTCTTTTGCCCCTTGGTTTATTTTAAATCAATGTTTTTTCTTCTATATAATAATTGATGTTTTTATAGCTATTGCTTACTTTTTATCATCATTGTTTTTCCAGTAAGTTAATTTCATCAGACTGTTATTAGCATTGCAGTGTTTGTGGAAACTCAATAAAGGAATGATTCTTAACGTTAGTTTTTCCACTGAAGAAAGATCATGATTGAATAATGTCTGAGACTAGAATGTTTCTTCTCCAACTTTTTGCTGAATTATCTCTTTACAACTTTAAGTTAACTAAATTACAAAAATTCAACTTTAAATGAACTAAATTAATTAAATTAAGAACAGGTCTTTTTCTTTCTGGTACATTTTGTGACCAGTACAATAATGGCTTCTCAAAGAAGTGCATGTCTAATCTCCAAAGGCTTTAGATATTTTACTTTATGTGGAAAAGAACAGTATCTTGAGATGGGAGTACAGACATCAGTCTAGAAAAGAGTGTCCCAAGGGTACTCATATGCATAACATATTGGGGTCAATACTCAGCTGGTAGAGTGCTTGTTAGCATAGAGGAAAAGTCCAAGGTTTGATCTCAGCACTGCATAAACAAGGCATGGTGGTGCATGCCTGCAATCCCAACACTTTAAAAGAGGAGACAGTAGAACCAGTAGTTCAAAGTCATTCTAGGCTACTCA